TTATTTTGCGTTCTCTAACTTAATTGAAGTTTGAAGACAGAATGAGAGCTATAAGCTCAACCACCAACTCAACAATACTACATTTTACATGCATCTCTATGTAGAAAGCTTTTTAATGTATACAAGGTTAATTTTAACGAAGTTATGGTAAACAAATCAGAACAATGTGACATCTGGTGACTGAAAATAACCGATAGTAAAATGGTACGTGACTCCAACTTCCTGAGGCAAAATGATTAAATGACAATACAGTATAAGAGGTAGACTAGATGAGCTATTTTATGGTTTTGCAGGTTTGATCTTCCCACACCATCAAATCTTTGTGTGTAGTTTTACGTTCAAAGTAAACTTACCCAGTTCCTTCCTCATAAGAGGACTTCCATCTTAGAGTTATTGAATAAGGAATAACATCGGTGATCGAAAACTCACGCACTTTAAATGCTGGGGAGAGAATTGCACACTGGAAGAGAAACCAAATTTTGATTATGCATAGAGTTTAGTGAAGAAACATATTTACTTGAATTTAGCATGGTTATTCTTCTATAAAGCTAGCATGTTGGCCATGATTATCTCAGAATGTAAAATGTTTTTAAAATGAACTACACATACTAACATTGGGGCAATTTTAAGTCACTTTCATTAAGGATTATCTTCTTAGTTAAACTGATGAAGAGAGGCTCTAGAGTGTCATTTTAAGTTTAATTATAGTAACACTTAGCTTATAGTGACTGCCAGCCAGGGATCTCAATGAGTTTTTAAAACAGATTGAATTAAGCTTCAAAGCCACCATAAGAGGTAAACACCCCTATTTTACAGATGAAGGAAGTGACTTACCCACATTAGTGCAAAAGGTCTGTGACAGAACTAGGAAGAGAACCCAGATATTTTGACTTTCACTCCTGTACTTTAACCACAAGACCATCCTTCCCATCATTACTCTCATAATTACTACCAAAACGTGACAACTACAACAAACGTTTAAATGATTAGTGAAGACGACAGTGCAAGAAAGAACGAATACTTAGTATGAAGACCTTAAATCCTGAGATGAGGGACATTTTGTTTAAGCTGCAGCATTCTCTGACTTTTGGTTAGTGAACAATTTCCAGCAGACTAGAAAAAACAGACTAGAATCTTAACAGCCATACCTGTAATGCGCAACCTCTTGCGACAGCTTCATCTGCATTCAGCGTAGTGCTTATATCTTTACCAAAGAACCTAGTTATTTGTTCCTTCACTGCTGGGATTCTAGTGGCTCCACCTACAATTTCTATACTGCTTATGTCTTCACGCTGTAGTTCTAGAAAAGACACAGTTCAGGCCATAAGTTAAAAAAAGTTAGCTTCGAATTACCCAAAGCTGACTTTTTTTTTTTGGCATATAGCTAGAGATCACATACCTTGGATTCTCACTCTTGACTCAAGGGGTTCTTATAATCAAACTGAATATCTAGACCAGGGGTAGGCAACCTATGGCACGCATGCCGAAGACGGCACGCGAGCTGATTTTCAGTGGCACTCACACTGCCCAGGTCCTGGCCACCGGTCCGGGGGGCTCTGCATTTTAATTTAATTTTAAATGAAGCTTCTTAAACATTTTAAAAACCTTATTTACTTTACATACAACAATAGTTTAGTTATATATTA